TGGTGGTTACTAAAGGATGGGGAGTGGGGGGATTGGGGAGATGTTGCTCAAAAGAAACAAACTTTCAGTTAGACAGAAGGAATAGGTTTAAGTTCAAGAGATTTATTGTATATCATGGTGGCTATGGTTAATCACAATATTTTATATACTTGAAAACTGCTAAGAGAGTAGATTTTAAGTATTCCAAAAAAATAAGTATGCGAGGTAATGCATGTTAGAAAGTTTGATTTAGTCATTCAGCATGAATACCTATAACAGAACAACATTATATGCCATAAATATACATAATTTTACCTGTCAATTAAAAATTTAAAAAACTAGCATTACATTGAATATCCAAATTAATAACTTATTTTTCTTATCTGCCATTGCATTAGTTGTATCTGTCCTTTTAAACTCCATGCAGTTAAGTGCCAGATATGTAAGTTACAAATACATATCATATATAGACTAGTATATATATGTTAATCAAAAGCCATAGCAACGTACCATTTTCTGTTCATTTGGGTGTATCCTTATTAAATAAATAAGAATGAAAAGAAAATTTTTGTTTTGCAAATCACAGTGTAAAATAATCACAACCAATATGTTTCATTATTATTCCTTTTTAACCATGAATTATTAACAGCTTGAAAATAATGTCTATTTCCATTTTAGTAAACAAGTCTCTCTTATCGGATGTGAGTAAAACAAACACTATTTGTGTTCCTCAATAATGCTACCATTTCTGTGGCTGCACTGTAGACAGCTACACACTGGCAACTTCACATTTGTTTCTTGTTTTGTTATTTGTTTTCTAGTTTTTTACTGCTGCTATCTGTCTCTTTCTCTTATATATTTGGGAACAGAAATAAATGGTTGAGGATGAAGATCCAGTTGTTGTAACTGTCTCTACTGTAATGATACTTTGCAATCTCACAATTTTGTTCTTATTCCTTCCCAAATGCATCTAACAAATAGCTACCAATTAGTTGATTAAAATAAGCACACAGGGGAATTGAATAGACTCCAAAATAAACCTACACATGCATAGGCAACTATTTTTTTTTCAGTTTGGGGGGATTAGTTTCATTTTTTTCTAGAGCTTAATTTTATAAATAAAAACTAATTTTTACATATATGCAAAGGTGATTCAGTGCAAAAGAAAAGATCTTCAATGCATATATTGAACCATTTGCAAAAATGTATCAAACCTAAAAGTGAAACCTAAATGTATAAGACTTCTAGCAAAAACATAGAAGAAAATCATTGAGACCTTGGATTAAGCCAAGATTCCCTAGAGATGACACCCAAAATATGGTTCATCAAAGAAAAAAAAGAAATTAGACTTTACCAAAATTATAAATGTCTTATCCCAATTGGCCTGTTTAATCATTACATACTGTATGCATTATGCATGTGTCAAAATATCACATGTTCCTCCAAATTATGCACAAACTATTATGCATCACTTAAAAAATTTAAAACTTCTTTTTGAAAATAGTGAAAGGCAATGTTAAAAATAACGCAAAAAAATCCAAAAAACCCACATACTGTGAGAAAATGTTTGCAGAGGTAATAACAGATAAAGAACTTATATCCAGAATATATACAGAACCCTCAAAACTTAATAGTAAAACAACTAACAATCCTATTTTTAAATGGCAAATATGAATAGTCACTTCACCAAAGAAGATACATAGATAGCAAATCAGTACATGAAAGAATGTTCAACATCATTCGTAATTAGAGAAATGTAAATTAAAACCACAATGAACTACTACTGTATACCTTTAAAACACTGACCATACTAAGTGTTGGAACTGCTGTTGGAAATGCAAAACCACTTTGGGATTATAGGCAATTTCTTTAAAAAGTTAAACATGCATCTATCACGTGATCCAGACATTCCACTTCTAGGCATTTTTCTAAAAGATGTGAAAATATATGTCCATACAAAGACTTGCATACAAATGATCATAGCAACTTTATTCATAATAGCCCAGAACTAAAAACAACACAAATGCCCATCAGCAAACTGTAGTATTGCCAAGCAACTACTCAGCAGTAAATCAGAAAAAAACTCCCGATACACACAACAATGTCGATAAACCTCAAAATAATTATGCTAAAGAAGGCAGGCAAAAAGAGGGGCAAACTGAAAGATTTCAGTTACATAAGATTTTAGAAAATACAAATTAATTGAAAACAGATTAATGATTAGTGATTGCCTAGGAACAAGGGGAAGAAGGATTCAAGGGTGCATGGAGAAACTTTTGGAGATGATAAAATATTATCTTGATTGTAGTGATGTTTTCACAGATATACATATATTTATCAAAACTTTAAAAAGTATATACTTCATGTGCAGTTACTGTGCATCTATTATAATTCAATAAAAATGTTTTTAAAAAAGAATTAACTTTGTGTATTCAGAAGAAAAAGAAGAGGAGGAGGAGTTGTTGAAAACTAAATGAATGTGCAATACTTGGCTTCTCAGAGATCTACAACAAAAGATAACGGTGCTACATTTGTCATTGTGTACTTGGTACGTGTGTTTGTGTGGCATGAGTGAATGGTTAAAGGGACTGTGTATATGTTTATATTAGGAGAGGTGTAAACGGATGTCAAAGTGCTATGTTCATTCTGAGCATATCAATAGATAGTGTGTTATACATTATCTCATATAGAAGTATGAACACATAGTCCCCCAAAACATAATAAAATAATGGAACAGAAGATATATCACTATGCAAATAATTTATATATACTTTATAAATAAAAAATAAGAATATGACATGCTAGAAATAATTCTTATACTCACAGGAAAAATATATAATACATACGATAAATTGACAATAGGAAGAAAAATCTTATTTTCCTTTGGGTACCTACTATACAAAATTAAATAAACTAATAGATGAAAAAAGCTACAAAATAAAAATGTATTACAATGCAGTGTATACACAACAAACATAGAATATTGTGATTGGAAAAAGTCACCTACTTTCAACCATTTTCATAGTCTATAGATAGGGAAAAATACATTCAAACTGAAAATCACTATAGTAGATTAACATATTACTTTATATTATATTTTATAAACTTTTTCTCTTTTTCTTCTCCATGTTCCATTCCAAATTTTTCCAGTATCAGTGTAAGAGATTAAGTAGTCCTTGAAAAGTATCCAAAAAAAAAAAACCCAAATAGATATGAAAGCTGTAATTGAGTTACATTTGCCCAATATTATGAGCTGGAACAAAGGTGTTTTATAAAGAAATCATAGTTGCCTTAAATCAAGGATGACATCATTGTACCTTTAGGATTTCACCATCAATTAATTTCTTTCTTGATTCAGTGGAAAACAAGCAAAAGACATGAATAGGCAATTCGCAAATGGACAATAAACATATGAAAAAGAATTCAATCTTACCACTAATCTAAAAAATACAAATACATATATTGAGAAATAAGTTTGGAGATGTTCATTAAAAATGCAAATAGTGACTACCTCTCAGTGTGTTTTGAGTTAGCTGTTTGCAGAAAAATTCCGGACAATGGATCAGAAAGAGAATTTAGGAACAGATCCAAGCAATTTTTAATTAATAAAGGTGATAAAGGTGGCATTTCACATAAGCATGGGACAGAAAGATAATCAAATATATGGTACTAGGAGAAATAGCTAGCTAATAAAATAAATATTAAAAATATCTAAATTCCTAACTCATCGCTGACTCCAAAATACTAATTCCTAATGGTACAAAGCTTAACATTTATATGAAACCGTTAAAGTACCATATAATAAGAACATCCGCTAAAAATACGACGTTTATCATTTTAAATGAAAATAGTAAGCTGCAGAACGATACTTACAGTATAACTCCAATGATTTAAATCATTATTTGTACGTTATATGTTTAGACTAAACTTATACAATGAAAGGATACAAGCATATTAAATTTTACATCATCATACTGCTATCCTCTACCGTATTTGCCTGGCACATGACAGGCACAAAAATACATTAGTTGAATGACCAAATAAATAGACTCTTATGCACTGTTGGTAGGACTGTAAATTATGATAACCTTTGTGGAGACAGTTTGAAAATATGCATAAAATAATAATTTTATAGTATGAAATGATAATTTCTAGCTTGTTCCATTTCTAGGAATTTATTCTATGACTAATACTAATTTTCACAGGTGCATAGTAATACATGTTTTAGATATCCAGGCAAATTATTTTTTCATAACAGGAAAAAATGTCTATATAAGAGAAATGATGTAGAAATACCCGCCCTACAACAGGAATCCAGTTAAACAAATTAAGGCAAATATTTCCATGAAATATGCATTTATTTAAAAATAGGATGTTGATTATTTGCCATGTAAATATAGGCATAATTAACTGATACATTAAATGATTCGATTACAAAACATAATGTCACACAGATAAAACAGTATACATAAATAGGTAGGCGTATGTATACACAAGAAATTTCTGGAAGGAAATGCATCAAAACGCTAACAATGGTTATCATTAGGTTTTAAGATTATTGTTTTTATTATCACCAAAATTGTCAATATTGAGGTTTTATCTTTACAATGCTCATATACCTTGTCAATCAGAGATAAATGATAACAGTAAATTGATGCACAAAACAGAAAAGCGCTTCTTTAAAAAAAGTGACTAAATGACAAAGCACAAATCCCACAACAAAAAGTAGTATAAAGATTAATCTAACTGAAATACCTTTCCTAATTTGAAATGAATAATTCATATTTTACATGTTAACTTACTGCTTGTATTCTGTGACCACAGTTAGACATTGAATGTGGTTAAACAGGTTATTTTCTACATCAGTATGCCATTTCACCTCTGTGGATTTTTCTGTTTCCATAGAAATATCAATATATTTTACAATTAAATCTCTAAAAGGCCATATCCTATACATTTTTATTCAAACGCAGATGGGTGATTTTTGACATTCATAAAAATGGGCTAAATATGTTCCTTACCTTTCAATGAAAAGTAAACACTGGTCTTTTTGAGTGTACCAAGGGGAGGTATTCTGTAGCAGAAAAGAATCCTGTAAATAAAAATAACAAATACCTGTTTTTAAACGTCATTTTACAAAAGTTTATTCACATAGTACTGGACTTGTAAATTATAATTTACTATGGCTAGAATTCTACAATATTAGAAGGAAATTGGTGGCAGATGACATCGCATACAGAGGACGTACTTTCATTAGCACAAATCCCCCCCATCCTCCTGTTCGTGGGATTGAAACCTGCTGCACAAAAGTATAAAACAAACCATCTGCTTTTCAATAATACCACCTAACATTTCAATACCCCTTTGTTTTACCTATAAGGTTATTGCAAGCATTAAGAAGTGTTACGTGGCAAGTTAGCAGCAAGGCTGGGATATATATATGCCAGTTTAAAAAGAGAAACATAATAAAAATGGTGTAACTGACTCACGGCAACATGGGTTCGCAAACCTTGTAGATGGATATACACCAAGCTTGCCAAACATCACAGACAGCAGTTATTAAATCTGCTACGTGGAATGCAATATGCCTGCTGTCTAGCCCCTCCCCCCGCCAATAAACGACTCCCCCTTTTTTCAGTGTACAACTACATGCTCATAGAATATTTAGAGAAAATATTTCTTAAAAATCATCCATAGTCACACTACCCAATGACGCCATTTAGACCATTTTCATCCAATTTTTTGCAAAATAGATTTTTGTCAAGCGGCCCGTGACAAACCAAACGGGAATTCAGGATGAGTGGATGGGAGAAGGAAGACACTCCTCTTCTTCCCTTGTTAGAAACTATGGCTAGTATTTTAACTTCTTGAATATGCTTTTTAAAAATTATAAAACTATAAAGATAAAATTTTGAGAGAAAAAAACGCTTTCCAGGGGTGTGCGCCTCGGTCAGCACGGAGCCTCTGCGTAGGTGGGCGGAGCTGGGGGGGTGAGGGGGGGGGGCAGTGGAGTTTGGCCGTTCATTGGACATAACACTTGTCAATCAATGTTTTTCAGCAAATGAGAAGCGAACTAAAGGCACACTGGGAACGAAATTAACGGGAATTCTGTTCGCAAGGGGAGGGGGTCCGCGATCTAAAACGAGAAGAGATCTCGGGGTCTCATACTGCGCCATTCGGCTGCGGCACGCCGCGGCACGTCGTAGCTGCTGCCGGGAGAGGCCGTACTGTCGCCGCTCTCGCCCAGGCCTCCACTGCCGCTGCCACATCAGTGCCGGCTTCTGCAGCCCCAGTCCCGCCCTGCGCTGCTGCTGCCACCGCCGCTGCCACCTCCGGAAGTTCGGGCTTCCGCCGCTGCTACCCAAGCATCCGTGAGTCATTTTCTGCCCATCTCCGGGCGCGCGGTCCCTGTGGTAGTCACCACCTTAAGAGGGTTTCAGGCTTGCAAGATGGCAGAAGCAGATGTTAAAATGGTCTCGGAACCTGTCGCTCAGGGAGTTGCTGAAGAGGAGATGGTTAGCTCGGCTAGTGATTCTGGGGAAGAATCTGACAGCAGTAGCTCTAGCAGTAGCAGCAGCAGCAGCAGCGGTAGCAGCAGCAGCCGCAGCCGCAGCCGCTTATATAGGAAGAAGAGGGTACCTGAGCCTTCCAGAAGGACGCGGCGGGCTCCGTCGGGTACAAATTTCGTGGATAGGCTGCCTCACGCAGTTAGAAATCGTGTGCAGGCGCTCAGAAATATTCAAGATGAATGTGACAAGGTAGACACCCTGTTCTTAAAGGCAATTCATGATCTTGAAAGGAAATATGCAGAACTCAATAAGCCTCTATATGATAGGCGATTTCAAATAATCAATGCAGAATATGAGCCTACAGGAGAAGAATGTGAATGGAATTCAGAGGATGAGGAGTTCAGCAGTGATGAGGAGATCCAGGATGATACCCCTAGTGAAATGCCTCCCTTAGAGGGTGAGGAAGAAGACCCTAAAGAAAAACCTGAGGTGAAGACTGAAGAGAAGGAAGATCCTAAAGAAATTCTAGAGGTAAAGGCCGAAGAAAAGGAAGTTTCTAAAGAAATTCCTGAAGTAAACACTGAAGAAAAGGAAGCCCCTAAAGAAATCCCCAAGGTAAAAGCTGAAGAAAAGGAAGTTCCTAAAGAAAGTCCCGAGGTAAAGGCTGAAGAAAAGAAAGTTCCTGAAGAAATTCCTGGGGTAAAAGCTGAAGGAAAGGCAGATTCTAAAAGTTGTATGGAGGAAACACCAGAATTAAAAGAAGATCCTAAAGAAGTCCCCCAGGCAAAGGCAGAAAATAAAAAGCAGCCTAAAGCAACAGAGGCTAAGGCAAGGGCTGCAATAAGAGAGGCTCATAAAAGAGTTCCTGAGGAAAGGCTTACCGAAAGAGTGAATCTTAAAAGAGCTAGGAAGGGAAAGCCTAAAAGAGAAGATCCTAAAGGCATTCCTGACTATTGGCTGACTGTTTTAAAGAATGTTGACAAGCTTGGGCCTATGATTCAGAAGTATGATGAGCCCATTCTGAAGTTCTTGTCCGATGTTAGCCTGAAGTTCTCAAAACCTGGCCAGCCTATAAGTTACACCTTTGAATTTCTTTTTCTACCCAATCCATACTTCAGAAATGAGGTGCTGCTGAAGACTTATATAATAAAGTCAAAACCAGATCACAGTGATCCCTTCTTCTCTTGGGGATGGGAAATTGAAGACTGCAAAGGTTGCAAGATAGACTGGAGAAGAGGAAAGGATGTTACTGTGACAACCACCCAGAGTCGCACAACTGCTACTGGAGAAATTGAAATCCAGCCAAGAGTGGTTTCTAATGCATCATTCTTCAATTTCTTTAGTCCGCCTGAAATTCCTGTGATTGGAAAGCTGGAACCACGAGAAGATGCTATCCTTGATGAGGACTTTGAAATTGGTCAAATTTTACACGATAATGTCATCCTGAAATCAATCTATTACTATACAGGAGAAGTCAATGGTACCTATTATAAAGATGGAAAAGATTATGGAAACAGAAAATACTGAAAGTAAAAAAAAGAGGCTGTCTGAAAGATTTTTCAAGAATCTTAAAAATTCAAAAGGTGAAGCAGGTTCATTATAGCCTTGGGGGGTGGGGGATGGGGTGGGAAGGGACCTGCCCTATAACCCAAACACTGCTATCCCTTAAAGTCTTGTGTTTTTGTAGTTTCTTGGTAATCTATTTTAAAAATTGTCCTAGAAGTGTCTTAAATATCAGTTTATTCTGTCTAGCCTGTTTTAGTGTAATATTCTTCAAAATATGTAAGCTGTTGTCAGTTATCTAAAGCATGTTAGTTTGGTGCTGCAGAGTGTTGATTTTTATGATGTCTTTGTGTCATATTCCTATTCTATTGTAGCTGTGAAAACTGTCAAAATGATTAACTGGTACAAATACTTGCTTGAAAAAAAAAGTTCATGAAATACCAATGCAAGTTTTGTTTTTGTTTTTTCCAGCTCAGAGTATTAAGTGTTTCAATCTGCTTGTACTAGCTGTGCCTTCATTACTTTGCTAGAGAAATACAGCACTTACATTAACTATAACAATGTATTGTGAAATTTGACTGCTTGAAAATAGATTAGCATTTAAGAATGTCTGTCTAGACCACATTTGATATAACTGTGAGCTTGTTTATGTGATATAGTGGTCTATAAACTTAATCATAATGAAGTTATTGTTTATCAATAAAGTGTTAATATTACTTAGTATTTTTTAAAAACTTTCCTCATCTTACATTGTGTAATTGTAAACTAAAGATACATTTTCTTTGTAATATGTTCTACTTTGCCTTTCACTGAAAATGACCACTTTACATCATTTGATAATTGTTTTTCATGTTCTTTTATTGCAACTTAAAATGAATAAATGTCAAATAAAGTGTGTCATGCTATAAAAATCTAGTATTTTCCCCTACTTATAAAAACTGTGATGCTTACAGAAAAAAGCAGATTATCCTAGGGAAAAGGAAAATTTACCAAAATATAATTATTAACATTCTGATTTATTTCCCACATCTTAGCTCTTTTGTTGGAGGGTTACACATTCAAGCTATTGGAAAAAAATGGGAAAGGGGGAAAAAGGAAAGAGGAGAGGAAAGGGAGGAGAGTAGATACAAGAGGAAAAAGAGGATGGGAGTTTGGAGGGAGGAAAGAGGAGGGGTGGAGAAGAGGGAAGGGTGAGGAGAGAAAGGGAAAAGAAGGAGGGTGGGAAATAGAAGGAAAGGGAGGGGTAGGGAAGAGAAATGGTGGGGAAACAGTGCAAGAGTGCTTCATTCAGAAAACCGTTTATATAAGATGCCAGGGACCCACTCTCCACCTTGACTTGGAAGGAGTTCACACTACCATGGCTGATTTTTTTCTTACAGGTAACAACGAGTTTTCACCACTTTTGTACCATGCCGCTGGTCACAGGGCATTTAGATCCTGAGGTTTGGGCTTGACATCTGTGTGAGAAGGAAACTCCTTAAATTCAGTTTACCAGTGAGTTTTGCACTGGTCATAAAGATACAAGCACAGCAAATAATAAAGTGATACCTTATTTCAGATTTATCATTTCCCAGTCCACATATACTTTTCTTCATGACCTTAAAAAAATAACTGTGGCAGAAGAAAAGATTTAAAAATTGCTATGACTCCAGGCATAAAATCACCTAATAGTCTTTCCAAATTCCACATATAAAGTTTGGTATCTTATTTTTATCTCTGCTCAACAATAGTCCCCTGCCAATATCTGTCTAAAAAAAAATTTACAACTGATGGCTTATTTATCTGTGGGTTTGGATATTTAGGTTGTTTATGATTTATACATCAGAAAGCAAATTATTGCTTTGATAAATATCACTGCATTTTTAGAGTGTTTGTTTTATTTCTGAGGTTCTTGCATCCATGAAGAATGGATATGGCAGATTTGCTTATATGCTAGAACCAAAACAAAGAATAAACAGGGTGAACCTAGTTTGTGCCTGCATAGGGTTCCAAATTGGATATACACTGTGCTTGCCAGACATAACGGCACAACCCTTAAAACATCTACATGGAGTGTGACATGACTTTTGCATCTTAGATATTTTATCATTTCCCCCTCTGTATTTTTCTTATTAAAAGTACTCATGCCATTACAGAATATTTGTAAAATAGAAGCAGAAGTGCAGAAAATAAAATCAGAAGCACACTACACTAAGATACGACCGTGGCCTGGTGTATTTTCTCCCGGTCCGTCTCTTGATAAGGTTTTATCATAAGTTCTCGGCTCAAATCAAAAGGTGAATTCAAGTTGGGTAGGTGTAAGAGAAGTTAACTGGAAATATATCTTACTGCTCTTTTAACTTCAAAATTTAAGCCCAGGGATGGGGAAAGGGAAACAACAGCTGCTAAGAATTTATACACTGGTAAAGCTAGGATTCTGACAAAGCAAGCAGGCTGCTGGGGATGGTGGGCACAGCTGGGCTGGCACATTTATTGGGCTTCATGTTTGTCCATCACACCGGTTCAGCCAATGAGCGATGTTAAACGGAGAGGCTGACTGAGAAAAGCTCTTGGGCAGGGGGCGGGGGCGTGAGTGGTGTTTAACCAAGTCTTCTGCAGCTTCGTTTTGTTGCGCTGTTTCCTTTCGCAGTGACTCAAAACTGAGGCAAGCCGCCCCCTTCCTTGCCCGCAACCCGTGGAGGAGGTCGCCCTCTCCCCTTTCTCTGCAGTCGCCACCATCTCTCAAAGAGTCCGTTCCTTCCTCAGTTGGGTACGCAGTATCCACCATAGTCACCCTAAATGTTTGCTCTTTTCGTTTAAAGTGACAGAGTCAGAGAAAGATTTTTTTGTAAGCAGCAGCAGCAGAGGCTGCTAAAGAGGTACTGGAAGGAACTTGAGCTGCGTGAAGAAAGTGACAACACAGTCGAAAGATGCAAATACCCCTTTCTGCTGCCCTGGGTGCGCCAAACCCGGAAGTAACTCGGTATACTGTGATACCGGTGTATTTGCCCTTAAAGAGCTTCAGGGGTGACAAGACAGAAGCCGAATTTAATCAGGAATTGCAGACTCTGGGGCGGAAGGAGTAAAAACCCTCACTTTATGAGGTGTTTGAGCCTACCGGCGCATGAGAACTATGTGGGGTTTTGCCTGAAGATTACAAACTGGCGTGAAAGTGATGCGATTTTGAATAACGAGGATCCGGATTCTGAGGCGAATGGTAAAGTTGAGAAACAAAAAGGGGCAAATATTGAAAAGGAGAAAAATTATTTAGAAAAAATATCCTTAAAGTACTGGTTATATGCTGACTTTAAAGTTACACGTTTATATTTCATTTGAACAAAACGAGTATTTCAAAGTTACGATGCTGAAGAAGATAGGCGTTAAAACGATATTTCTTGATCCCTTGCCCTTTGAACATCCAGAAATTTAGATTTGCAAAGGATGTTAGGTATACTGGAGAAAAAGAACTACCTTCTAAAAGCCAAGGTAATCATATTTTATTTTATTTATTTTTTATTTGTTTTTTTGAGTTGGAGTCTCACTGTCATCCAAGCTAGAGGACATTGGCACGCTCCTGGCATCGCAGCCTCAACCTACTGGGCTCCTGCGATCCTTCCACCTCAGCCTTCCAAGTAGCCAGAACTACAGGTGCATTCCACGACGCTCGGCTAATTTTTGATTTATTGTAGAGACGAGGTCTCGCCAAGGTGCCCGGGTGGGTCTTGAACCTCTCGCCTTGAATCCTCTCCCTTGGCCTCCCAAGGTAATCACATTTTAAATGGGACACTCCATCACACACTGAACAAGTTCCCAAAGCCTCCTTTTTAAAGTTATTTCTTTTAGTTTTCTTGAAATATTACAGTGCTTAAAAGTGGAACTCATTAGGGAAAAAAAAAACCTGTCATGTTCATTTCTAACTTGATTAAAATTGTTGGATTACTGGACCTTTAAAGTAACATGTTTTTCTAATTTGGAAATGAGACTTACCCTAACCAGCAGAGTCTATGCAAACCTAGGATGGGGACACACTGAAAAGCTGAATGAGATCGTGACCCCAACTATTTATGAGATGGTAAACCAGAATTTTCAAGATATGAAAAATACTTTGAACATCATCTGAACTTAGAAAACAATATGATTTGGCAAAACAGACTATGTAACCCGCAGTATAATACTTCAACACAATTATGTAATACTTAAAATTTTACATTTTGTGTATTTTGTAGAGTATATTTCAAAGTGTCAGAAGTAAAATGCTTAAGAATTAAAACACATAGCAATTAGAAGTATACCTTTCTTCAGGAAATGTAGAACACAACACATTCTCTAAAGGATCTTTATTCATTGCTATATAGTTTAGTTCTTATGTTGTATTTTTGTCATCTGGTTGTAAGAGAGCAATGGCGAAACTTATCAGAACTTTTTATTGAAGCTAATATTTACTTGGAGGAAAAAATACACTTGAAGAACCAATCCAAGTGTGTGTTTTGCGTTCAGCTCAGAAGTAGGAAGGTTTTAAGTCAGTTTGCACTAGGTATGTCTTCATTATTTTGCTATAAAAATGTGACTTGTTATGTGATGATACATTGCAAAATTTTACAACTTGAATAAAGTAACATAGAGTTAAGAATCTTCTGGAACTCACTAATATAAAATGTAGATTGTTCATGATTTTGAATTTTGCATGACATATTTATAAAGAACAAAATAATCATAAATGAAGCTGTTACTTCTCATATTGGTGTTAGTAATAGTGTATCTCATCTTTTACTGTTCAATTATGTAAACTATAGTGATTAAGTATATTTTCTTTGCATTGTGCTTTACTGAAAGTTATCAAATGGTTGTTTTATTACATCTTCTGACTGTTATATATGTTCTGTAGAAAATATGGAAGACATACCTGAAAAATATAAAAATAATGGAAGACATACTGAAAAATATAAAAATAATTGGAAACAATTCTACATTCAAATGTTTTGTATGAAAAATAAATATATCATTTTTCATTCATTATATTTTGAAATATTTCTGTATCAGTGCATGTAAATCTTCATTTTTTAAAGTTTTTAAAATTTTTACTTGACACATAATAATTGTACATATTTATGGGGTAAAGTGTGATTTTTAATACATGTATGCATTGTATAATATGCATTAAATGGATATGCTGTGGTTTATGTCATCAGATCCTCATGATGGACATTTAAGCTATAGGTATCTTTTTCCATTTGATTAGTAATTGTAAGCGATGAATTAAGCAAAAATATTGCATATGTTGCACTTTTTTCACTTTAACACTATTTTTTTCTATAAAATAGTTTTGATTTAATATAGTCACATTTATCTTTTTTCCCCCATTATGAATTTTGGGTATTTGGGTTAGAAATGCCCTTTCACACCAACGTATTTTTTTTAATTATTCATGTTTCTTGCAGTACTCTTATAGTTTCATTTAAAACTTTAATCTTTCTAGAATACTTTTTATGTAAAGATTGAGATAGACCACTTTCAACACAACTAACCAGTTGTTTCAACATCATTTATTGAATATTGAATATCCAACGTAATTAATTGCTGCCTTTATTATCTAATTCATTCTTTTATGTGGTGGGGCCTATTTCTGAACTCTTTTGTTCAGAGGTGTTATTCTTGTGCCAGTATAAATATTTTAAACATAAATTTGTCATATACATTTTAATAGCTGGTAAGAACAGTTCCTTATAAAACTAGTTTTTAAGATTTTCTTGGATCGTTTTACTTATTTGTTTTTTTCCAAATGAACTGCAGTATCACTTTTTTTCAAGATCCTCTCCACCCATTAAAACCTATTGATACTTTGATTGGAGTTTCTTTGTATTTATATATCAACTTGCAGAGAATCAGGAACTTCATATCAGTCTTCTTATCCAAGGGCAAGGTATGTCTTTTC